CTGGGGAGCCCAGAACTGGACCCAGTGCTCCAGCTGGGGCCTCCCCAGGGCAGAGCAGAGGGGCAGGATGACCTCCCTCCACCTGCTGGTCATGCTCTTCTCGATGCCCCCCAGGATGCCATTGGCCTTCTTGGCCACCAGGTCCCATTGCTGTCTCATGGTCACCCTGTTGGCCACCAGGACTCCTAGATCTTTCTCCTCAGAGCTGCTCTCCAGCAGGTCACCCCCAACCTGTCCTGGTGCAGGGGGTTATCCCTCCCTTGGACCAAGTATGGACCCCTGGGGGATCCCACTTGTTAGGGACCTCCAACTGGTTTCTGTTCCACAAATCACAACCCTCTGAGCTCTGTCCTTCAGCCAGTTTTCAACCCACCCCACTGTCCGTTCTTCTAACCCACACTTCTTAACCTCAGGATGCTCTGGGAGATGGTGTGCTGAAATCAAATAGCCTAAATTCCATTACAACAGGCATTGCATCTATTCCCAGCATCAATTAATTGGTTTAATTTAATTATTTTGGATAATCAACCTTAGGTCACCCCCAACCTGTCCTGGTGCAGGGGGTTATCCCTCCCCAGGTGCACCACCCTACACTTGCCCTTGTTGAAGTTCATCAGGTTCCTCTGCCCAACTCTCCAACCTGCCCAGATCTTGCTGGATGGTACCACAGCCTTCTGGTGTGAAAACCACCCTTCCCAGTTTGTAACTTGCTGAGGGTATGTTCCATCCCTTCATCCACTGTCCGTTCTTCTAACCCACACTTCTTAACCTCAGGATGCTCTGGGAGATGGTGTGCTGAAATCAAATAGCCTAAATTCCATTACAACAGGCATTGCATCTATTCCCAGCATCAATTAATTGGTTTAATTTAATTATTTTGGATAATCAACCTTAATTAAAAGGGTTGTAAGCCATTTCTGGGCGTGTAAAGGCTCGGTTATGTTGTACTGGGGTAAAAACCTCCACTTTTCCTGTCCTCTCCATCCAGGCCAAGCAGTGGGGCTGGACGCAGGGACGCTGGCCCAAGAAAAGCGCGGAATTCTTGCTGCACATGCTCAAAAACGCAGAGAGCAACGCTGAGCTCAAGGTGGGTGTCACTAAAAAGGCGGTGTCATTGTCACCCTGGGTCACCCTGACCCCCCTGGGGCTGGGTAAGGCCATATTTCTCCTGCAGGGTTATCATCTGCTTGGAAGAAATTGGGGTTTAAATCTCTTAAAACCTACAAAACCAAGCAAAATCTGTGCATTTCTGGTCAATTTGTATCTTTATAACGTTCTTGGTGTTTAATTTGGTTGCTTTGATGGCAGTGATGACTATCTTAGGACATTCTTGCTGCACATGCTCAAAAACGCAGAGAGCAACGCTGAGCTCAAGGTGGGTGTCACTAAAAAGGCGGTGTCATTGTCACCCTGGGTCACCCTGACCCCCCTGGGGCTGGGTAAGGCCATATTTCTCCTGCAGGGTTATCATCTGCTTGGAAGAAATTGGGGTTTAAATCTCTTAAAACCTACAAAACCAAGCAAAATCTGTGCATTTCTGGTCAATTTGTATCTTTGTAACATTCTTGTTGTTTAATTCGGTCGCTTTGATGGCAGTGATGACTATCTTAGGACACCTTTGGAATAACCATGAAAAAAAATAAGAACTTTTTCTGAGCCATCAGCGTCGTTTTCAATTAATTGGGATGTGCCGATGGGTGGTGGGTGGATTCTGTGGCTCCAGCTGGAGCCGGCTCGGAAAATACTCCGTTTGGAATAACCATGAAAAAAAAAAGATCTTTTTCTGAGCCATTAGCGTCGTTTTCAATTAATTGGGACGTGCTGACGGGTGGTGGGTGGATTCTGTGGCTCCAGCTGGAGCTGCCTCGGAAAATACTCCGTTCTGCGGCGCTGCTGACTTGGGCTGCTTTATTTGCTGGAAGTCACACGGAATCATGGAATGGTGAGGGGTTGGAAGAGACCTCTGGAGATCATCTGCAGAATCATGGATGATGAGGGGTTGGAAGGGACCTTTGGAGATCATCTCCTCCAACCCCCTGCCAAAGCAGGGCCACCCAGAGCAGGTTGCACAGGAACGTGTCCAGGTGGGGTTGGAATGTCTCCAGAGAAGGAGACTCCACCACCTCTCTGGGCAGCCTCTGCCAGGGCTCTGCCACCCTCATTATGTTCCAGTTTGTGCCCATTTCTTCTTGTCCTGTCCCTGGGCACCACTGAAAAAAGCCTGGCCCCATCCTCCTGACACCCACCCTTGGAGTATTTCTAGGTCTTGATCAGATCCCCCTCTCGGTCTTCTCTTCTCCAGACTCAAAAGCCCCAAGAAGTCCCTCAGCCTTTCCTCATCAGAGAGATGCTCCAGGCCCATCGTCATCTTCGTGGTCCTAACACTCCCTCTAAACTTGGTTTAGGAAGAATGCAATCCCTTTTTTAGGTTTAAAACCAACCTAGGTGTTCAAGTTAAGAGTGAGTTACATGTGGATTTTCCAAACATGTCCTTCTGCTTTCCATTGCCCACTTGAAACGTGGCTGCTTTTTCAGACTGTTCCCAAAAAGGGATATTTTGTGCCAATTAAACCCTTGAACGGTTGAAACCATCGGCAATTAATCGCTCTGTGGAGTCATTGAGTGAGTTACCACTGACTTTGTCTCCAGGTGGAAGCCTTTCTTCACCTTCTGCTTTCCGTTGCCCACTTGAAATGTGGCTGCTTTTTTAGACTGCTCCCAAAAAGGGATGTTTTGTGTCAATTAAACCCTTGAATGGTTGAAACCATCGGCAATTAATTGCTCTGCGGAGACTATCAGTCATTGAGTATTTATTCAAGTATTTATGGGCGTTGATCAGATCCCCCCTCAGCCTTCTCTTCTCCAGGCTCAAAAGACCCAAGAAGTCCCTCAGCCTTTCCTCAGCAGAGAGATGCTCCAGGTCCCTCATCATCTTTGTAGCCCTAATTCCTTGGAGGTTATTTATTTTAGGAGAAAACTCCCAAGTTTTACCTTTCTCCCTCTCCCCACCAGGGTCTGGACGTGGATTCTCTGGTGATCGAGCACATCCAGGTCAACAAAGCTCCCAAAATGCGTCGTCGCACCTACCGGGCTCACGGTCGCATCAACCCTTACATGAGCTCCCCTTGTCACATCGAGATGATCCTCACCGAGAAGGAGCAGATCGTCCCCAAGCCTGAGGAGGAGGTGGCTCAGAAGAAAAAGGTAGGGAGTTCATTAACGAAGCGGGTCCTTCATCATCCTCTCGGAGCGCGTCGCCATCACGAAATGGCGGCTCCGTAGACGGAGGGGTTGCGGTGATGACCATCTTAGGACACCTTTGGAACATCCATGAAAAAAACTGAGTTATTTCTGAGCAACCTCGATATTTATTGTGAATTTGAGAACTTAGGGTTGGTATCTCCTCCTTGCGCAGCCCGGGACGTGTGTTTGGGTTGTTCCGTTGGGATACGATGCGTTTGGATAAAATTTAAATCAAGTTGACAGCCTGTAGGCAGTATTTTAAGGATGCTTAATTATCTGCAGGTGTAATTAGTGCAATACTTTGTAAAAAGGTGAAGAAATTCCCAAGAAATCTCGGTTCAAAGGATGAGCCTCAATTTAAGATGTCGTAGCTCATTTTGCTGACTTCTCTCTCTTTTTTCTTTTCCAGATTTCCCAGAAGAAGCTGAAGAAGCAAAAGCTGATGGCTCGGGAGTAAACATGACAGGAGAAATGTACAGAAATAAAATTTTAAAAAGAATTAAATTGGGGTGGTTTTTTGGGGGAGGAGGGGGCACCTTTCCTTCATCTTTCAAGGCTGTGCCTGGTGCCTCTGCTGGCGTGTTGCTGGGGGAGTGGGCAGAGTGGTGCCACCCCAATTACTCAGCCACAGGGATGCTGAATATAGTAAATTTAATATTTTTATTTACATTATATATACAAAAAATAATATTAATCTGTAAAACAAGGTAATTGGATGTAAATGGTGGTGTTTGTTCCCCACCCCCTCTCCAGTATTCGGCTCTGGGCACCGCCCAGCAGCAGCTCCGTGTCCCCAGAGCCCTGTCGGTGACATAAAAACAACTTTTATTTAAAAAATGGGGGGTTTTGTGCGCGTATTTTGCGCTGTTTTAAAGGTAATCGCGGCCGGAGGGGGCTGAGGCGGACTTCATGGGGCGGGGCTTGGGCCGAGTGACCCGCTCCCCGCCGCCTCCTATTGGCTGCGAGTGGGTGGTGCGCGCCAACCGGAAGTGCGGCCGCGTTTCCGGTGCCGGTGGGACGAAGGAGGAGGAGGAGGCGGCGGCGGCGGCCGGTAACGGCGCTGGGTCGGTGGCCGGTGAGGTGAGTGTGGGGCCGGGGCGCCTCCCCCGGTGCTCCCTTCGCTCCGTACCCGCTTCCCCGGTTGGGCCCGGCCCGGTTTGGCCGCTCGCTCCCTTCTCCGCGGCTCCGTTAACCGGGGAGGGGGGGTGGCGGTTCCCTGAAAGGCGGCAGCTCAGGCCGCGCTGTGGAGTTTTTCGTTTTCCACACGTTTCTGAGGGAAAAATTTACCGATTCCGAAGGTTTTCGTTCTCCAGCCTTGATATCGGTACCGAGGGAAGGCGGGGATGCCGCCGGTTACCGGGACAGGCCAGCCGGGAGGCTGGGGAGGGCTCGGCCCTGAGGTCGCCCTGCGAGACAGAAACACAGGGATTTTTTAATGTAAAAAAAGAAAAAAAAAAAGCTTTAATAAGTTTGCTCTTAAAATTTTACGATTTCGATTTATTTTCTTTTGTTAGTGGGGTTTTTGTGTCGCTTTGTTCCTTTTTTTTGGCCAGTAAATTAATTGCCTCCTCATCAGCCACCGGCCCATCCCCAAAACCACGGAGGAAAGTCCTGAAGGATATTTAAATATTATATAAATAATTGAATATTAAATAAACAAATATTATATAAAAAATTAATATACTATGCTCCTTCTGACTGGTTTTTAGAGGCAAAACCTGTTTTTTTTGGGGGGCTGGATCCTTGATACCGGCCGTCACCTCACACAGGTGGGGTGTTCCCTCTTGCCAAATCCACGAATTCTTCCCCCAAAAATTCAGTTCTGGCGGAGAAAATAGAGCAATTAGCTTTTTTTGAAGGGCTTTAATGAATTCCCTCGTTAATGTCGTCTTAATTTAAGATGCTTCTCTGACTTCAGATCCTGCAGGAGCCGAATCAGTCACTTGGGAATGGATATCGTTGCTCCGCAGAGCCTGGGGCTAAAAATCTTTAGAATTGTTGGGTTTTTTTAAGAAAAAAAAGTGAAATTCTGATCTCAAGCGAATCCTCCGCATCTACTTGTTCCTTTTCCAGCCTGGAAAGCTTTTTTTTCCCTTTTTTTAGTGGGAATTTGGATGTCGGCAGCCTGGGAAAGGAGGATTGCGAAGGGCAAAGCTGAGCCGTGCAGAGGAACGTCTAATACATCGCTGAGCTCCGATCCTAATTAACTGGATCCTAATTAACTCCTTCCCACCGATTTGCCCTTCGAGGTGTAGCAAATCATTAGATGGATTTGAGTCCTGCTGCTTAATTTCACCTTAATTAAAAAGGGGGCTCTACAAGATGGAAACATAAAGCATTTTGGATACTTGAACGTGAAGAATCTTTAATTTTTGAATATCAACTACGCTCCTTTTTAATTATTTAAGCCGTTTCTTAATTGGTGCCACATGATCATTGTCTTCTTGTTTTTTCTCCCTTCTCCAGCTTTGTCCCAGAGCAGGAGGAAACCATGGTGTGCATTCCTTGTATCGTCATTCCCATTCTCCTCTGGGTCTACAAGAAGTTCCTGGAACCTTACATCTACCCCGTTATCGCGCCCTTCGTTAAGCGCGTCTGGCCCAAGAGAGCGGTGGAAGAAACCACGGCCATGAATCAAGGTCAAGGAGGTGGCACCAGATATCCCCGGCCACCTTCACGCGCCAAGAGAGACCAGGAGGATGACTTCGGAATATATAAAGTAAGATTAATGGGTTTAATTAAGGAGGGAAACACGGATAAAGGTGTTTTTAGGGCTATTTTCCACTTTTCAGTTAGTTCTGCTGCTTGTAATGGGGGAGAACTGGGAGGGGTGGTGACATGCCAGAAGGTTGTGGTGCCACACAGCGAGACCTGGGCAGGTTGGAGAGTTGGGGGGAGAGGAACCTGATGAACGCCAGAAGGTTGTGGTGCCACACAGGGAGACCTGGACAGGTTGGAGAGTTGGGGAGAGAGGAACCTGATGAACTTCAACAAGGGCAAGTGTAGGGTGCTGCACCTGGGGAGGAATAACCCCCTGCACCAGGACAGGTTGGGGGTGACCTGCTGGAGAGCAGCTCTGAGGAGAAAGATCTAGGAGTCGTGGTGGACAACAGGATGACCATGAGCCAGCAATAGGCCCTGGTGGCCAAGAAGGCCAATGGCATCCTGGGGGGCATCAGGAAGAGTGGGACCAGCAGGTGGAGGGAGGTCATCCTGCCCCTCTGCTCTGCCCTGGGGAGGCCCCAGCTGGAGCATTGGGACCAGTTGTGGGCTCCCCAGTTCCAGAAGGACAGGGAACTGCTGGAGAGGGGACAGCAGAGGGCTACAAAGATGGTGAGGGGCCTGGAGCATCTCTCTGCTGAGGAAAGGCTGAGGGACTTGGGTCTTTTGAGTCTGGAGAAGACTGAGGTAGGATCTGATTCTATAAATACTTGAAGGGTGGGTGTCAGGAGGATGGGGCCAGGCTTTTTTCAGTGGTGCCCAGGGACAGGACAAGAAGAAATGGGCACAAACTTGACCATCAGAAGTTCTACCTCGACACGAGGAGGAACTTCTTTTGTGTGAGGGTGGCAGAGCCCTGGCAGAGGCTGCCCAGGGAGGTGGTGGAGTCTCCTTCTCTGGAGACATTCCAACCCCACCTGGACACGTTCCCGTGGGACCTGTTTTGGTAGGGGGTTGGACTAGATGATCTCCAGAGGTCCCTTCCAACTCCATCTCATTCTCTGAATCTGTGAAAACCTTAATTATCTCTTTTAACAGAATGCAAAGATTGGATTTGTTGTCTCTGCCTTTATTTCTTCCCCACGGAGCAATAATTATGTGCAGTTCTAACGAGACACCACCCCTTTGGTTCTTGCTGCAGATTTCTTTGTAGATCTTCACTGTCCTGGCTTCTAAAAGCCATTTTCATCACGGCCTGTTCTTGGTTTGGGTGTGGAGCCCTTTTTCATCTTGACATCCCGTTAACGACGTTGTCTTTTCTTTCCAGTTTGGAAGCAACGGGGTCGCGAATGGAATCGCCGCCAAGGGATCCACAGAGGTTTCCGACAAGAAAACGGATTAAAGGAATTCATTCCTGAGGATTTTATTCTCTTGTGTCCGATACGAACTGGTGATATTTTTCTCACTTTGAGACTTTTTTTGGTCTTTTTCTTTGCACATTTGCGCTGAGTGATAACCCTTGTCGCTTAGAGAAGAAGGGTCTCTTTTTGCCACTAAAACGGCAGCAGTTTCTTAATTTAAAATGTTTGAAACCCCATTCTGAATCTCTGAAAACCTTATTAATTATCTCTTTTAGCAGAATGCAAAGATTGGATTTGTTGTCTTTGCCCTTATTTCTTCCCCACCGAGCAATAATTATGTGCAGCTCTAACGAGACACCACCCCTTTGGTGTTTGCTGCAGATTTCATCATAAATCTTCACTGTCCTGGCTTCTAAAAGCCATTTTCATCACGGACTGTTCTTGTTTTGGGTGTGGAGCCCTTTTTCATCTTGACATCCCGTTAACGACGTTGTCTTTTCTTTCCAGTTTGGAAGCAACGGGGTCGCGAATGGAATCGCCGCCAAGGGATCCACAGAGGTTTCCGACAAGAAAACGGATTAAAGGAATTCATTCCTGAGGATTTTATTCTCTTGTGTCCGATACGAACTGGTGATATTTTTCTCACTTTGAGACTTTTTTTGGTCTTTTTCTTTGCACATTTGCGCTGAGTGATAACCCTTGTCGCTTAGAGAAGAAGGGTCTCTTTTTGCCACTAAAACGGCAGCAGTTTCTTAATTTAAAATGTTTGAAACCCCAGGTACTTTATTTTCCTCGCTGGAACCACTTTTCACCTGCAATCTATTTGCTGAGATAAGAGTTTAGGTTTCAATAAGTTACAAATAAATAAATCCAAGATGAATTTATCTTAGTTTTGCCGCGAATGCAATACCGCAGGCTTTCACCTTAAAAGCTGTAGCTATTTTTCACCTCGCTAAAGAATTATGAATTTTACATCGTTGGCAACATGAGCATCTTGGTTAAATTATGGAGAGTTTAGTTTTTTCGTGTCAAATGTGTGGATGAGCTAAAATAGGTCTGCTGTTTGCAAAATTTACTCAGCTTACTAAAAGCAGAAAGTCTCGAGTTGATAATTCCGTTAATTATTTCCCTCGAAATATTGTGCCTTTTCTTTCCTGAAAAGGAGCAGCCAAGGGCACGATGTGAAAGAATTGTTGCTTTATATTTTGTTGCGGTGGTTTAAAATGCTGATGTCTTTAAAAAACAAAAAAAGACCAAAAAAAAAATCCAGCTAAAATCTCTTTAACGTGCTTGTGTAATTTGAATGATAAGAAACCGGGATTTTATTTAAAAATAGATTTCTTTATACAGTTTCTTAGGCTTTCGAGCTAGAAATATCTGAAGTGGTGACAAAATCATGGAAAACCTGTAGAGAGGCCCCAGGTAGAAGGAGGGGAACCCTAGATGATCTCCAGAGGTCCCTTCCAACCCCGTGTCATTCTGTGATTCACCTCCAACAGCTCTGAACAGGACAAAAAAATAGAGAAAAAGCTGTACTGGGGCTCTTTTCCTTTGTAAATGTATGCAGTCAATTTATAAAATGGACCTCATTAATTATTTTGCATTATTGAGGGTATTATTATATGGGGAAGTGCATCAAAGAATAACACGGGAAGGAAACTAATTAGTAAATTAGGCAACAGGCAGAACTAGGCCTTAGTATTGAAACACCAGGGCTATGAAAAGACTACAAAAAGTAAAATAGACAGTGCAAGTAAAATTAAACCTTTTTTTCCTTTCTGGAATGCTGTTGAAGTATTTTTATTAGCTGCAGTTTAAACGCTAACGTGAGTCATGTACATCACAGAACCTTCCTGAATGAGGGACTTCACTGGGAAGTCCTGGCAGGAGATTTGTGAAAAAGAATAGGTCAATAATCCCATTGTGTTGTGAATTGTAAAAAAAAAAATCAGGTGAAATAGTAAAATAGGTGAAAGGCTGAGCCTGGGCAGGGGTAGAGCTCATCTGCTCGGATGCAGAGAAGCACAAAAAGCCATTTCAGAAAAATCCGTAGACAGAAATTAAGGAAATCCTCGTGTGAGAGGACAATTTATATCAAGTAAATTTAATTTATCTGAGAAAATGTTCATATTTTTATTATAAGATTTATAAAAGGGCGTAGGTACCTAAAGATGGCAGGTGGGCATCTACTGGAATTTACTATAGCAATTAGCAGGTTCATTAATACTGAGGACTTTTAGGAAATTGCAGAGGAGGCATCTTTAGGGACCAAAGTACTTCTGCAAATCTAGTCCTCAGACCTTCTGGTTTTATTTCAATAGTATTGAAGGAGAATCAAGAAATCAACCAATGCTTGAAAATACTTGAAAAAAGATTCAAATGAACTTATTTAAAATATTTTTTTCTGAAGGTCTAAACGTGACATAGTAATTTCCATGTGTTGCTTTGCAGAGGTAGCTGGGTGCTAAGGACTTAAAATTAATTTAATTGAAATACACCTTTAAAATACTGCAAGTATGTAAAAAAAAATTCTTAAATAAATGGTTTTATGCTGGCAATTATTTTGATGGGCCTGATTCTGCAAGCGAAGGAAATTCTGGCAGGTTAAACTGAACACCATCATCCTCTAAGGACGTCTAAAGCAGTGAATTGTGTGGAAAATGATCTTTATTTCGATGTGTTCGTAGAACTGAGTTAAATCCTACCCACAAAACTGAGCTAAGGACAGTAATAAAATCTGCTGTTATTACCCAAATGTAGCAATCACTCTCCAGCCTTCAGGGAGTTGTTAAGGTTCAATCCTTAGAGTCACTCCTCCTTGATTTCTGTACAATGCAGAACATTATTGCTGAAAGAACAGTCTTTTCAGAGGCTGCAGGTAAAGGAAATGAAGAGGAATTTAATTTACACTTCGATTAACTAAATCTGCCTTCAGTGAGAACTAATTCTGTTCTGTTAAACTGACTAATACATGAAAGGAGGGATTATCTTCCTTGCCCGGTTTTCTGATCGTTAGAACGTGCTCGATGAACCAAATCATATTTTGGGTTTTAGAGACTGTCATTATATTTGTAGAGAACTCGACTTCAGTACTTGAAGTGAAACAGTCCAGAGAGCACACACGCCTTGAGAAAGGTTGTTAGATCCTAGCGTTGTATCTTTATTTAGTTGTATTTAAAACATAAAATACTTGAAACATGAATTATTTGACATATGAAGTATTTGAAACGTTGTGAATAGTGCATTTATAGGTCGATAGGTGTAGCAATAATTGTATTTTGTGTGAGGATTGTATTTCAGTTCATTTTTGTGTGCACACAGTGTTGTCTCTTTTATAGCCACTCTTTTTCACTGTCCATTTATTGCTGCAGCGGGTCCCATCAAACACTGTGTGAAGGTAAAGGGACCAAACCCTAAGCCAAGGTGTTTGCTTTTATGGGGGAATGTAAATGAAGTGGTTAGAGCTCACCTTTGCACTGTTTGCATTCGCCCTGCTTGCTCCCTCTGTTCACAGATCCATGTAAGAGATGGGCTACAATAAGGTAATGAGATTATGCTCAGGATTAATTATATTGGGAAGGGTTTCCCTTTTGAAGGACCCATTGGTACTTATAAAATCAGCTACTGATGGCATAAAAAACATCTCGGAGATGGGGATAGGAGATTAGCAGAGGCAGAATCAGCAAGTTAGAAACATAGAATGGTCCAGGTTGGAAGGGACCTTTCAGATCATGGAGTCCAACCATCAACCCAACACTGACAAAGCCACCACTAACCCATGTCCCTCAGCACCACATCTGCGCGGCTTTTAAATCCTTCCAGGGATGGTGACTCCACCACTGCCCTGGGCAGCCTCTTCCAAGGCATGATGACCCTTTCTGTGAAGAAATTTTCCCCAATATCCATCCTAAACCTCCCCTGGTGCAACTTGAGGCCGTTTCCTCTTGTCCCATCGCCTGTTCCTTGGGAGAAGAGACCGACCCCCCCTGGCTACACCCTCCTTTCAGGGAGTTGGAGAGAGCGAGAAGGTCTCCCCTCAGCCTCCTTTTCTCCAGGCTGAACACCCCCAGCTCCCTCAGCCTCTCCTCACAAGACTTGTTCTCCAGACCCCTCACCAGCTCCATTGACCTTCTCTGGACACACTCCAGCCCCTCAATGTCTTTTTTGTGGTGAGGGGCCCCAAACTGGACCCAGCGCTCGAGGTGGGGCCTCACCAGTGCCCAGCACAGGGGGACGGTCGCTGCCCCAGTCCCACTTCGAGCAGCCTGAGGTAAATCCCCGCTCCCTCAGGTCCCGCTTGCACGAGTCACCTCAGCTCCCGCTGACCGAAAAGGCGGGCGGGGGAGGCCGTGGACAACGATGCTGTGGCCCCGACCGCCCCGCTGGTTACCGAGAGAAGCCTCTCGCCGGGGGAAAGTCCCTCGGTGGGAGGAGGGATGACACCGGGCGATGACAGCCCCGTTGATGGCCGCCGGCCCTCCCTCCCTCCCGCTGCTGGACTACACTTCCCGGCGTGCACCGCGGCGCCGCCCGCCTCGGCCGC